TCTCCTCCTCCTCCTCTTCTTCTTCCCCTTCTCTTTCCCCCTCCTCTTCTTCTTCTTCTCCTTCTCCTCCTTCTCCTTCCCCTTCCTATCATTTCTTCTTCTTCTTCTTCTTCTTCTTCTTCTTCTTCTTCTTCTTCTTCTTCTTCTTCTCCTCCTCCTCCTCCCCTCCCCTCCTCTTCTTCTCCTTCTCCTTCTGCTCCTTCTCCTTCTCCTCCTCTCCTCCCATCCCCCTCCTCCTCTTCTTCTCCTTCTCTTCCCCCTCTTCTTCTTCTCTTCTTCTCCTTCTCCTCCTTCCCCTTCCCCTTCTCCTTCCTATTATTTCTTCTGCTTCTTCTTCTTCTTCTTCTTCTTCTTCTTCTTCTTCTTCTTCTGCTTCTTCTTCTTCTTCTTCTTCTTCTTCTTCTTCTTCTTCTTCTTCTTCTTCTTCTTCTTTTCTCCTCCTCCTCCTCCTCCCCTCCCCTCCTCTTCTTCTCCTTCTCCTTCTGCTCCTTCTCCTTCTCCTCCTCTCCTCCCATCCCCCTCCTCCTCTTCTTCTTCTCCTTCTCTTCCCCCTCTTCTTCTTCTTCTTCTCCTTCCCCTCCTTCTCCTTCCCCTTCTCCTTCCTATTATTTCTTCTGCTTCTTCTTCTTCTTCTGCTTCTGCTTCTGCTTCTGCTTCTGCTTTTTCCTCCTCCTCCTCCTCCTTCAAGAAAACTTTGTTTCAAAATGCTGAAAATCCTTGAGATGGAGACTCGGGAGTCTCAAAACAACCCTTGGATAGATTTGGGAGCGGAAGAAATAATAGCATGCTTCTGTTTGCAAAAAGCTGGAGAAGGGGAGGAGGAGGCATGTTGCCAGGGCAACATTTTACCTGCTGCTCAAATAGAACCTCCACTTCTCAAGGCAGTCTATCCCCCTGAAAACCGAATAGTGGGAACCAAAGGGCGGATTTCCTGCTATTTTTCTTCGATCTACTCTTAACTTTGGCAGCTTTGAGGTCTTCGGAATCCGGAATCGGTTTCCTTGCGAGTAAATGGATTGCGCCCTAGCGCTTAGTGTTTATCCCCCCCCCCCCCCCCCGTATCTTTCGTTTCCCTCTCCCACGCGGGAAGGTTTTCCTTGAAACGGACCCAGTCCTGGCCCGTGATAAATTTCTCCGGGTCTGGTACCCGGTCTTTACGCACGGTCGACTCCAGAAAGAGCAAACGCCAATCTTGGTTTTGGCTGTCAATGTAACACCCCGATTTTCCGGAAATCAACACCCACAGAAATGGTCCCCCTCCCCCACCCATGGTTCTTGCTGGATTAAGAAAAGTCACCCCACCCTCCCGAAAAACACGAATTTATGAAATATAAATCTAATATCAGTTTGAAGCGAGTTACTTACAAAAAAAAAAAAAGAGAGAGAGAGAGAGACAAGGTCAGATTTTGCCCTGCGCGTAAAATACACTCTCTGATCAAAACAGGAATAACTAATAATAATAACTTAGTAATAGCAGTAATACTAGTAGTAACTTCGCAAGCTTTTACCGACGTCTGGGGGAGGGGGGGTAGATTTATATTAACGTAACGTGTGAACTCGATAAAACGTGGGAATCTTGATTGGCTGGGAAGCTCTTAGTCGCCCCCCCCCCCAAAAAAAACACCCGATGGATAAGGAAAAAGACGCCAAGGCATTTAGCCGCGTAAAAAACTGGGCGAAGCTAGCTACCTGGACTGCCATCTGGTGCTCTTGTTATTCGGTTAGCTTTGGTGTCCTACCACGTGTGAAAGAATACCAGGTGTCCGCCCGTGTCTCCTAAACGGGTACGCGGGTTGCTGGAGTCTCGGCTCGCTTCTTGTAACCTATTGGTAAGCGTGTCGGGTCAGGCTCCCCCGACCCAAAAAAACCCCCAAGGTTTATTTTCACCAAAGCGAAACGGAGCGTTCGCGGGTTCCCCGGAAAACGTGTGAACCCGTCCCGCAAGCCGCTGGACCTCGAGATGCAAACGGGTCGTTGGCAGCTTTCACAGCTCCTCTCTCCTTTCCCAATAAACCGGGAGAAAAATTGCTTGAAAATTATGATTATTTTTCCTTCGAGAATCTTTTTTTTTCCGGTCCCCTCTCTCCGCTGCGCCACGGAGGTGGCGTTGTCAAATCCGGGGTAAAGAACGGGAAGAGACCGCTTCCCATTTAGGAAGGGGGTGCATTCCAAAGGGAATCGGGGTAACGCTGATGAAGCAACCTCTCCATCCAGCACTGGGACACCTCAATTTGTGCGCGCGCCCCGTTTTATCCATCATCAATTGGCCACCTCCGAAAATTTAACTTTTAATGTCAGGGTTTGCGTTTAATCCGATTCGCGTTATGTGTGTGGGTGGGTGTATTCGTGTGTCCTTCTTTTGTTGGGCATGATTAACTTCCAATTCTGAATTCGGTTTGCATTGTTCTCGTAACATCCCTTTCTCGCCATTCCCCGTTAAAGATCGGATCCAGAGCTACCGAAAAAGCGGGACTCTCTTTTAAGTTTTGATGCGACGCGTTAACCCAGTTAGTCCGAAACAGGCTGGTTTTGCTTCGCAGAGAACTTCAAATTTTGGAACTAGTTTCCCACCCCCCCCGGCTCCCCCCAAGGCTCCCCCCAAGGCTGGGACTAATTTTTCCTGTGTTTAGTCAAATTGGACCGACCCCGTCTCTAGTTTCAACCTGAGATGGTAACGCAGTTACCAAGTTAAGTTTTCCTCCGGAACGAGCCTCTTTTCAAGTTAAGGGGGCTCGTTTCGGAATCCACCTACTGTTCATTTTTTGGGGGGGGGTTCTTTTGAAAACCAAATTCTCCTTTTATTCTTTCACCGGGCTGTCTTAACGCCCGGCGGGAAGCTGATCCGTAAAAGCGGCTCTTTGGGATTTTAAATCCACCTTTCCCGATTTTTTTCCCCTCACCTCCTCCTGAATATCAAAGCGCTCTCGATGCCAAATGGAAAGGGCAAAAACACCGGTCTTGCAGGTAAGGCGCCCCCCCACCTCCTCAGAAAGGTTGGCGGTGGGCGACAACATGTTTTTTAAGCTTTCAAAGGAACAAAAAATAAATCAGAATAAATCCCCGCAGTTCTGCCCTGAACCTACCGCGCGTTTTGTATTGAGTCCTGAACGATTGAAAGCTCTTTTTTTTTTTGGCCCTTATTTTGCCCGGAATTAAAGGACTTTCACACTCCCCAAAATCAAGAACCGTTTCTGCAATTGTGCCCCCCCCGAACTGAACAGGGGGTGCGTGTCGAGAAAGAGGGGGGGCAAAAAACGCGACTCCATCCGTTGATAAAATCTTAACTTCTTCTCCTGTTTACTCTTCCGCTTCTAACCTTGGCTTCTCGTTAGAGAAGAGACACAAAACGCCAAAGGCGATTTCATTTGATTTTATTTCTATTATTATTATTATTATTATTATTATTATTATTATTATTATTATTATTATTATTATTATTATTATTATTCCAGGGCGTTTCATTTCTCTCTCCTTCTCCCTCTCCTGAATTGCCTTTATAATTTCCAGCCCTGTAAATTTGGGGGGGGGGCTCTTCTTCAATCCAAGATTTCCGAGACCCCCAATCCTTCGGAAGAGGGGCGCGCTCGGTCGCTTTTATAGCGCTTCCAGGAGAAACTCGTCTCTCTCTCTCTCTTTTTTTTTTTTTTCTGGGCGCGCCCCGCATCTTTTGCGCGCGCCCGCAGACCGGCCAGCGCGCCCCTGCCTTGTCCGGCGCTGGTTTCTTTGAGTTGCGCACCCCCTTTTTTGTTTTCGCACAAGGTCGGGGTTTAGGGATCCCGCCCCTCCTCTCCCGAAGGAAGAGACGCGCTGCTCTAAAAACGCACCGCCCGTTCCTTCTTGACAAAGGAAGGGGCGCAGAGGGAAAGGTGGGGGGGGGGGACGGATCCAAATGAATATTACCAAAAATAAATCACGACACCCCCCCCCATCCTCATCCGTCCGTTCCTCCCTCCCACTCGGAAAGCTGCTTTTTTTTAAAAAAAAAAAAATCGCCTTAAATCTTCCTCCCGCTCAGGACAAAACTTTTGGGAGAGAATCCCGAAATCGGGACTGTTGGATTCCGCTGCGCGCCCCGGGGTGTGTGTGTATGTGCTGAGGATCGGACAGGGGGAAAAGCTTCGGTTGCGCGGGGGTTGCGCGGAGGCAGAAGCCACCGATTTGAAATTGGATGCCGGGGACTAAGCCCGAGACTTGATCTCCTTCCCATCTGGTTAAAGAAAAAAAAAAGAAATTGAATCGATTTTCCCAAAGTCTGGTCAATTCCCGTCCTCCTTTCTCGTCAATTTCACGGCGCGCTCTTTTTGCTCGCCCGACGGGAGCCGCCTCGCCTGGACTTTGGCACCCGCTAAAACTCGGACGAGGGTGAGGTTGGGGGGAAACCCCAGGAGGAAAAAAAAAATGGGGAACCCTCACCTCTTCCCCCCCCCCACCCCCCCCCAAAAAGAGAGAATTAGGAACAAGAACCCAAGAGAGTCTTGGCTGCCCCGCGGAGGTGAGCAGGTGGGCGTTGTGGAACCCGCTCCTCCGGGTGAAGCCGCCTTCTTCCCCGAGCTTCTCTTCCGCCTCGTGGGTTGGTTGGCCGCCCCCTCCCCTTTATTTCCTCCTGGTCTGCGAAGAACCTTGGAAGAGAGCAGGTGTCTTTGGGGGGGGGGGCAGCCCAGTCTCTCTCGTTTGGTGGGTGGGCTCAGGCCGGCGGAGCCTCGCCTCCTCCCACCTCTCTCTCTCTCTCTCTCTCCTAGCCGAGCCCCCACCCCTTCCACCAAGGGGAGGGGGGCACCTCCCGCCTCTCTCTCTCTCTCTCTCTCTCTCTCTCTCTCTCTCTCTCTCCTAGCCGAGCCCCCACCCCTTCCACCAAGGGGAGGGGGGCACCTCCCGCCTCTCTCTCTCTCTCTCTCTCTCTCTCTCTCTCTCTCTCTCTCTCTCTCTCTCTCTCTCTCTCTCCTAGCCGAGCCCCCACCCCTCCACCAAGGGGAGGGGGGCACCTCCCGCCTCTCTCTCTCTCTCTCTCTCTCTCTCTCTCTCTCTCTCTCTCTCTCTCTCTCTCTCTCTCTCTTTTGCAACGTCAGGGAGGAGGGGTACGGAGGTCATTAATAAGCAATTAGAAGGGTCACCCCCAAGCCCATATATATACCAGCTCCGGAGTTGCGTCCCAGACTTTGCGATTTGGCCCGGAGCTGGGAATCGGCTGGGGGGGCCCGCGCCTCCCTCCGGCTCTCTCTCTCCGCGTCCAAAGAGGTGGTGGGGCGCCTCCAGGCTCTTCCTCGCTGGCCTTCCTTCCTCATGATGGGCTCCGTGCTGCCGGCCGAGGCGCTGGTCCTGAAAGGGGCTCTGAAGCCCCCCAGCCTCTCCCTGGCCGAAGTCATCACGTCGGATATCCTGCACAGCTTTCTCTACGGCCGCTGGAGGAACGTGCTGGGAGAGCAGCTGCTGGAGGAGAAGAGCGGAGGGGGGGTCGGGGCGGCGGCGGCCGGGGGTGGCGTTAGCGGCGGCCACGGGAACCCCAAAACGGCCTTCACGGCGGAGGTCCTGGCTCAGTCCTTCTCCGGAGGTGAGTTTTCCCTCTCTTTTCCAACCGTGGTGGGTTTTTTTGAGTGGGGGAGACGCCGGGGGGAGAGAATGAGACTTTGCACGTGTGAATGCTCTGATCCTTCCCAGGAACGGGGTTTTGGGGAGAGGTGGCCGACACGTGTAAAGGAGAGCTGCGGGATTCTGGAAGCCCGCGTCTCTCTCCTCCTCCGGCTTCCCAGAGGAAACGCCTGGGAGAGGGCTAAGGTGGTCGGACACGTGTGCGCTTCGCCTGGTTTGGACCCTCGGAGCCTGGCATCGTGAGAAAGACCCCCGGCGAGGGGTTCTTTCGACCCAGGCAGACGAGCCGGGACACATGGTCCTTTTTCAAGGAGATTTTTCGTGGTCCCAATGCCCTCCTGACTCTGATTTGTATTACAGACCCGGGTCTTAAAGTAGAGCTCCTTCTGGAGTTGTGTGTATCCGCTGGTTTTTCTACACGTGTGTCCTGTTCTTAGTATGTGTGTGCCAGTGGATGCATTCTGGGTGTTTTAGCGGTCCAGGATTTGCCACAAATCATGCGTGTGGGTTAAAAGAGACGACTTAAAAGAATTAAAATTAAAACCTCACATTGAAATGGCCACTCCGCCTTCCCTGAGCCACACTGGTGTTGGGGCTATGAAGCTAAATTCACACAACCTTGAAATCCTGAATCCTCCCCCCTCCCCCTTTCCTGGAAAACCATCCAAAATACAGACTGCACGACGCCCCACCGACTCCATCATGGTTTAGTTTACATAAAAGTCTAATTCACACAACCGCTTGACCCAGGAATGCTCCCTTTGAAGCCATTCTTGTGTGAATCCTGCCTTTTTCTGTCTCTCCTTCCCCTCCCGGATTAAATCCGGAGCAGCAACTTCTGATCTCCCAGCAAAAGTATTATTATTTTTTTATATAAAAAAAGAATCACAAATCTCCTCTTCATTCTTTAGCTTCTCTTTAATAGCTGAAGTTTCCCTCTACCCTGATTATGGTTTAACACTGAAACCAAAACTTTTCCTCTCTCTCTCTCTTTTTTTATATCCCCTCTTCAAGATCTTTCTTTTCCGCCTCTTCGAACCTGATTAAGCTCAGATTGCGAGGTGCTTTTCTCCCAAGGTTTCAAAAATAAATAAATAAATCATGATCCCCATCATAATCCTTCTTTTTATCGCTTTTCCCACTCAAGTTTTCCCTTCGATGTCTCTCCCGGGCTTCTTCATTTATTTATTTATTTTGCAAAAGCCCTAGGCATTTAAAGGCTTATTAGGCGTGTAATAGCAGTTGACTGATTAAAAAAAAGGTTTTAAATTCATTTAGTTAACTTGAGCCTGACCTTAAAGGAGTGGGGGGTGGGGGGCGGGTTTGTTCCCACTTAAACTGAGAACTTTTAAAAGTTGTTGGGACCATTTTTCTTTTCTTTAACCTGTCTCAAGTCCTTACTCTTCATTCATCAAACTCCCGGACAAGCAAATTCCCTTTCCCTCCTGGCATTTGGGATTCCCTGGTCTTTGTCCCCCCCCACCCCCACCTCACCCCACCCCAAAAAGATTACTGTTCCCTTCTTAATCTACCGTGAAAACTCCATTCTGTCTCCTTTGAAAAGATGTCAGCCCGCTAATCTTTCCCATTTTGTTGCCAGAAATTCCTGCGCCTTTTAAAACAAGTTTCTTAGGCCATTCAGTTCTCCCCAGTGTTGGCCGACAGCATTCTCTAAAGGCTAATGAATTTAGAATTAGCCATTTTCCTTCTAAGGGTCTTGAATGAATGCGGATCACTTTAAACAGCGTGACAAATTGCTTTATGCAATGCCGTGGCACCATTTAACCTCACACTCTTCGCTTTTTAAAGATTTTCCCTCTCTCTCTCTCTTTCCCTCTCCCTCCCTCCGTCCCAAGTTCTTTCTTGAGCCATCTTAACAAGGTAGCCTTGTTGCGGTTGTGTTATTTTTAAAGTCCAGTTTCTTGTTCCACTTTTCCTGGGAAGAGGAGTGCCAAAATGAACTGGTGCAGAGCCCCAGGTGTCCTGGAGAGAGAGAGAGAAAGAGAGAAAGAGAGGAAAAGAGGGAGAGAGAGAGAGAGAGAGAGGAAAAGAGACAGAAAGAGGGAGAGAGAGAGAGAGAGAGAAAGAGAGTGAGAGAAAGAGGAAAAGAGAGAGAGAGAGAGAGAGAGAAAGAGGAAAAGAGGGAGAGAGAGGGAGAGAGAAAGAGAGAGATAGAAAGAGAGAGAGAGAGAGGAAAGAAGAGAAAGAAAAGAGACAGAAAGAGGGAGAGAAAGAGAGAGAAAGAGAGGAAAAGAGACAGAAAGGAAAAGAGACAGAAAGAGGGAGAGAAAGAGAGGAAGAGAGAGAGAGAGAGAAAGAGAGGGAAGGAGGGAGAGAAAGAGGGAGAGAGAGAAAGAGAGAGAGAGAAAGAGGAAAAGAGGGAGCGAGAGAGAGAGGGGGAGAAAGAGAGGGAGAGAGGAAAAAAGGGAGAGAGAGAAAGAGAAAAGAGACAGAAAGAGGGAGAGAAAGAGAGAGAGAAAGGAGAAAAGAGACAGAAAAGAGGAGAGAAAGAGAGAGAAAGAGAGGAAAAGAGACAGAAAGGAAAAGAGATAGAAAGAGGGAGAGAAAGAGGGAGAGAGAGGGAGAGAGAGAGAGAGGGGGAGAGAAAGTGAGAAAGAATTAATAGAGGAGAAAAAATTAATCTTAAGGATGCCACAGGTTGCAATCTTGCAGAAGGCACGTAAAGTTGGCACACGGAGTTGGGCGTTGTCTGGTTTTGGGGTTTTTTTTAAGCTTCAAATACAGTGTGGGTGTATTTGCTTTTCAGCAAGCGGGGGGGCGGGCGGAGGGGGGGTTAGATCTCTCTTAGAAAGCCCACAGAGAGGTAAAAAGAGCCAGCGGTGGAGACAGAAAATTTCGGTGTGTGGAAAAAAAGAAAAATTGGACACTAATTTAAAATTCTTTTTTTTTCCTTGTTGTTGTTGAGTTGGATAGATGCATTTGGAGAAAAGACCCTTTAGGAGCAACAGGATCTCAAATTCGACAGGAGAGCTCAAATTCGACATCTGATGATTGACACCCCATGTGTCTCAAACATTAGATCCCTCGTGCAAATTTCATCCGTTTGACAGCTCACTTTTTCAGATCTCAGCTACAGAAAACCCAACCTTGAGTCTGTGTCATTTCAGGCTGGGTGCGTGACCTGGCCATAACTTCACAACAAGTGTGTCCTGTATTGTGCATTGCACCCTTATTTCCCACACGGGCATCGCGACACATCTCAAATCATGTGCCATTGGCAAAAGAGGATGCTGTGGGGCGGATAATGATTTTAGCACTGAGTCTGCCACGATGGAAAGATATTCAGCATATCCTTGAAATTTATACTTTTTTTTAACGCTATATATAAGTGTATTTTTCAAAAAGAAGAAGATCTTGATATACCCCAATAATTTGCTTCCAACCGTGGCATAAAATAGACTAGCCCCTTGTGTCTGGTGTTCCCGATACCCGAAGATCAGAGGGGAACATTTAAAAACAAACACTTGGGCCTTTGGGAGAATGAATAAATTAAATTAATTTTGATAGCAGCGGGAGTCTGTTTGCACTTTGCAATTGGGAAGAGAGTGTGAATGTATGTGTTTCTGTGCACGATCCTAGTTATACAAGAGACAGCGGCTGATTTTTTGATTGACTGGATTGATTGATTGATTGATTGATTGATTGATTAGGTCACTCGGAGTTGCCGGGAACTGTGACATGGGCGGCAAATAACTTTGATAATGAAGTACCATTAGTCATAGGTACCTTGGGTGCAATCCCAAAACATCTGGAGCACCTCTTGAGCACCATCGTCATTGACAAAATCCCCATCAGTCAATTGCAAAAGGCAGCTTTATCAGCAGCGGCTTACATCCTGTGACGATATTTGCAACCCCATCAAACATCCACATCTGCCTTTCCCAGGCCATTAGGAAAGACTCGGTAGCTGGACAAAAATGCCAAATCCAGCCTGAACATCTGGCTGACTGGGCCACCGACCCTAATAATAAAACTGCCATGAAATCGGTTTTCAATTCCAAGCGTCAATAGCTTTCCTCCACCTGATTCCTCAGAGGCTGTGATGCTAAATTCCCTATATTACCCGATAGAATCATAGAATCATAGATCCATAGAATCATAGATTAGATGATCATAGATTCATAGAACTATAATATTACAGTTCATAATAATATAGACTCATATAATAGACTCATAGAGTATCATAGATTCATATGACCTAGAACCCTCAGACCATCCTAGACAAACGCCTGGCCAACTTGCTTAATGACACCATGATTCATTTAATGACGGTATCATAACGGACGATGCTCAGCTTCAGTTCTTCGCCAGCCTGTTTTGTTAATAGCAACTTTGGCGTGACTTGATCTTCCCGAAGGACTATGATGTTTGCAAATATTTCTCCAGTCCCTGTCTTAACTCTGTTTAAAGAAAGATGGATCTAATCTCACATGGGTGTGTTGGCCACATACAGGCTACAAAACTTCGCTCCATGTCCATTTCTACACCGTACGTAATGCTATACGTACTCTCTTACCTTACCTCTTACCTATGTTCTTACATCAAAGGTATAACGTAGATCCCAGGAAATATAAACTCTGGATTGTGTGTATATCCTTGACAATATCTGTGCAAGAGAAAAACACAAGATCTAAATGAGCTTACAAGGGGCGTGACCTTGAATTTTCTCTAGGAAAATAGAACTATAAAAAAGATCGATCGATTGATTGATTGCCCAAAGTGTTCAAATCTACAATTTAACCAAGAAAGGTGCAAGGAGAACCTGATTGATGCTAGTCTACAAATGCACCAATTTTGTTTTGTTTTATTTTATTTATTACATTTATTTGCTGCACTTTTCACCTATAAAGGGACTCCGAGTGGCTTACAGACAATGAACAGATAGATAAATAAACTGATCAAAATTTTAAAAGCTATAGACAAAACTTGGAACCAAGCAAGAGTTATTAGGACGAGGATGAGAACAACCGACGGAGGCTTTATGGGCAAATTCACATTGACCGACCTCTCTCGACCATTGAGAAAGACCGGTGTTTTGTGTTGTGTGGCCCATTAACACAACTCTCCTCGTTGTGCAAGTTGCCTGCATCCGAAATGCATTTGGAAGTTTTTAGGAGTCCCCAAATCTAAAAAAAACCAACCAATTGCATTTCCCAGTTTGTGCCATGTTGCTGCCAAGCGGCTTATTCCCATCCGATTTCCATTGCTCCCCTAAGCTAATATAATTTCCAGTATTTTTTCCCCCCCGCCAGCCAGCTTCGACGGAGGATTAACCTGTCTAAATCAAATGCCTTTTTCTTATTGTGTTTATCAGGGGATTTGCATCTGTTACTGAAGGTGCGCAATTTAGCAATCGGGGTTTTCATCGGTGGGTGCCAAATGAAGTTGTGGCTTGTTTGCCTTCAGTGTGGCCTTGGGGGGGGGAGGGGCACACAATTGGGAGATGATGATGGTTTAGATCAGGGGTGTCAAATTCCCATTTCATTGAGGGCCGCATCAGGGTTAATTTTGACCTCCGGGGGGGGTGTGCTGAGGTGGGTGGGCGTGGCCAGGGTGGGCGTGGCCATCTTGACATCATTTGTGTAGGGGGCACCTGTGGTGGGCCCGGCAGGACTGGGGGCATCCCCCTGCAGCCCTATGGCACCTCACCTGCAGGCCGCACCTGTTGGCTGGTCCTTCGCTATTTCCAGGGTGGCCCCCGCGGGCCAGATCTAAGCACCCCACGGATTGGATCCTCCTGCCCACTGGCCTCGAGTTTGACACCCCTAATTTAGATTGTAGATGAAGGTACAAATTGGGATTCCTTTATTAATGCAGGGGTGAAGCCAGTCCAGCTTCGTACTAGATTGGGCAAATCTAGGTAATGATGGTTAATTCGGCAAACCCTGGTTGAAGAAACCAGGACAAAAGTGTGTCAGTTAACCCAGAAGGAAGGGAGCGATTTTGTGATGTGACTTGCTCTTTTGTGAGTGTTTTTTGGTTCCGGAACGGGATAGGGACTCCTGCTTGATAAGGGGTTGGACTAGAAGACCTCCAGAAGGTCCCTTCTGTTATTCCGGTGTGGTTAATCTCTCCCTCCCTTGCTGATTCTCTCGTTTTGCAGAAGTCCAGAAGCTCTCCAGCCTCGTCCTGCCCTCGGAGGTCATCATCGCCCAGAGCTCCATCCCTGGGGAGGGACTGGGCATCTTCTCCAAAACCTGGATCAAAGCTGGCACGGAGATGGGACCTTTTACAGGCCGGATCATCTCCCCTGAACACGTGGACCTGTGCAAGAACAACAGTCTCATGTGGGAGGTAAAGGCAGACTCTCCACGCGCGAAGAAGGCTCATGGGTTGGGGGCTTACAGAGACACACCCTATAGGTAATAGGACACACCTATTACTATAGGTAATCCTCAACTCAATTTGTTTAGTGGCCATTCAAAGTTACAACAGCACTGGAAAAAAAGTGAATGATGACCGAGAAATTTCTCACGACCCTCCTAGCATCCCTGTGTGATCGACATTTGGGTCAGGGATGAAATGCTACCGGTTCGGGAGAAAATGCTACCAGTTCTGGCGAACCGGTATTTCCAATGATCAGCTGGTTGACGATCAGCTGTGACGTGTGATTTATATTAGGTAGAATTGTTGGATTTCCTGCTTTCTAGCTAGTCTAAACCACATGGCACAGCGGATTCCCACCCCCCCTCGCTGTTCAACTTACCTTTGCACGCTCGGAAGGCTTCAAAATGTTCCTTTTTTAGCACTGCGCGGGTGCGCCTTAGGCGCACTCGGTAGCAGACTCACCAGAAGGTAGCAGACTTTAGAGGATTTCACCGCTGATTTGGGCGCTTGGCAACTGGCATGTACTTATGCCTGTTGCATTGTCATGTCAAGTCACGTGATGATCCCCTTTTGCTGACCTGACGAGCAAAGTCAATGCGGAAGGCAGATTCACTTTAAGCACCGTGTGACTCACTTCCCCAACTGTCCAACTTCCCCACTTAACAACCGAGGCAAAAGATGTCATAAAATGGACACAATTTATTTAACAACCATGCCGATTAACCAAAGACAGTTCAGACTCCGCTGTTGATAGTAAGTCAAGAACTTCCTGCAATTCACATTTAAGGTTCACTCGCCCCATTCCCATGACATGCTAATCCTGGTTAGTTTTTACTTGGTTACTTTGATGTTGGGCAGGTTTTCAGAACCCAGCCTGTTTATTTATTTTTGTTTGTAAAATTTATTGGCCATCCCTATTATCACAGAGAGGGACACGGTGGCTCAGTGGCTAAGACGCTGTCAATCGAAAGGTCGGCGGTTCGAATCCCTAGTGCCGCGTAACGGGGTGAGCTCCCGTGACTTGTCCCAGCTTCTGCCAACCTAGCAGTTCGAAAGCACATAAAAAAAAATGCAAGTAGAAAAATAGGCACCACCTTTGGTGGGAAGGGAACAGCGTTCCGTGCGCCTTTGGTGTTGAGTCATGCCGGCCACCTGACCACGGAGACGCCTTCGGACAGCGCTGGCTCTTCGGCTTTGAAACGGAGATGAGCACCGCCCCCTAGAGTCGGGAACGACTAGCACATATGTGCAAAGGGAACCTTTACCTTTACCTTATTACCACAGAGTAACTTTGCGCAGCTTTGGTTATTTACGGTGGCTCCTCCTGCCTGAAAACAGGTAACATCCGCAACGGTGACGACAATAAATATTAACGTTAGCTTCTGAACCCTTAAGCTAGGAGAAAAAGGCTGAATTCAGAAAGCCAGCTAAAAAGAAACCAAGGTTAAAACCAGCCCAGCTTCGCATGCTCTGTGAATGAAGTTGGCTGGTTTTTGTTACCTACCTTGAGAAAACGGAGCTGAATGTGTGTTTTAAGCTGCCATTAGAGGCATAATGGGGCTTTTCTAATTTTTTCTTTATTCAAAACTCCATAAATGAAGGCAAATGACAGCTATTCAACCCAGGGATAAAGGAAACTGCCTATTAGGCTCAAGGTTTTTTTTTTTTTTTTTCCCTGCCTCGCACTTCAGTTCATTCTTTATCTATTTGGTGGGAGATGCGCACCTATAAACACAGGAATTTAAATTTGTATGTTTTTTTTTTTCAGTTGGTTTTTTTTTTCCCCCCCCCCCTTTATTTCCCCCCTTTATTTCTTACTTTTGCAAGTAACCAGCCTTGGCGAGTTCCGTTTAAAAAAAAAAAAAAAGTAATTTCTTCACGAATGCATTATAATGTGCCAGTTCCCCACGACGGAGGCCTTTTCGTGTGCGCTTTTGATTTGAAAGAGGGAATAAGCCTATTTTCTGGATGTTTCCCGTTTGATTGGCAAAGTGTGAAACTGAAGACATTTCTTGCATCTCGCGCGCTCGAATTCTTCCGAGGCAGCCTTGTTTTTTGCAAAGCCTACGTAGGATATTCTGCAGCTGACAGCCGATCAGAACTGCTGCAGCTCTGTTTGCAACTCGTTTGCGCTCCTAAAACCATTTTTTTCCCCTTTGAAAGTTTTCTTCTTTCTTTATTTCTCTTTGCAAGTTTTCTTCTCTTGTTCTTCTTTGCGATCTATCTTCCTTCCTTCCTTCCTTCCTTCCTTCCTTCCTTCCTTCCTTCCTTCCTTCCTTCCCTTCCCAAGTTTTCTTCTCTTTTCTTCTAAGCTAATTATCTTCTTTCTTTTTCCTCTTTGCAAATTTTCTTCTCTTGTTCCTCTTTGCAATCTATCTTCCTTCCTTCCTTCCTTCCTTCCTTCACAAGTTTTCTTCTCTTTTCTTCTAAGCTAATTATCTTCTTTCTTTTTCCTCTTTGCAAATTTACTTCTCTTGTTCCTATTTGCGATCTTCCTTCCTTCCTTCCTTCCTTCCTTCCTTCCTTCCTTCCTTCCTTCTCCTTCCTTCCTTCCTTCACAAGTTTTCTCTCTTTTCTTCTAAGCTAATTATCTTCTTTCTTTTTCCTCTTTGCAAGTTTTCTTCTCTTGTTCCTCTTTGCGATCTTCCTTCCTTCCTTCCTTCCTTCCTTCCTTCCTTCCTTCCTTCTCCTTCCTTCCTTCCTTCACAAGTTTTCTTCTCTTTTCTTCTTAGCCAATTATCTTATTTCTTTTTCCTCTTTGCAAGTTTTCTTTTCTTTCTTTCTTTCTTTCTTTCTTTCTTTCTTTCTTTCTTTCTTTCTTTCTTTCTTTCTTCTTTTCCTTTTTTCCTTCCCGGGTTTTCTTCTCTTTTCCTCTTAGCCAATGACCTTCTTTCTTTTTCCTCTTTGCGAGTTTTCTTTTTCTTTATTTCTCCTTGCATGTTTTCTTCCCTTTTTGCAAGCTTTCTTCTCTTTCGTTTTGCTCTCTGCAAGTTTTCCAATTTCCAGAGAGAGAAGAGAGAGAGATTCCTAAACCAGAAGATACCCCGAATTATTGTTGTGTGGCTCGCACAGCAAAGAAGATTCAATCACTGCTGTGCTCACTTGGCTCACAATGGCCAAGATTTTCCTATATTCCAAACCAGGCTAATCAGGATATCTAAGCATGGACTCTTAAAGGCTCCTGAGAGATTTTTAAAGTCCCTCCGTGGTCTTTAAACAAAGGCATTTCCATCTTATTTTCTGCAATGTTTTTCATAATCTGATACACCATCTACTCATGTCCAACAACTTAATTCTCTTTATATCAGTATGAACTGGGGATAATCTGGACATATTCTGGGAACAATGCAGTTACGTGCATTTCCTGGATCCAGTTTGGGCTGTTTGCATAAAACGAAGCGGGATGGGATTTTTTGATATGGGGGTAAGGACATTATTTGAAATTGAGATAAGAAGCCATTGGGTCAAGCAGTTTAAGAATCACGTAAGAAAGAAAGTCTGTGTTATTCCCCATAATTCCTCAGACTGGCTGGGGAATTCCACCTGTCTTAAATTGCTAAGGTAGAGAAACACGGGTCTAATGGCTACTCAATAAAGTATTATATATTGAAGATTTCTTTTTAAAAAAAACAACCAACCAACCAGGATTAATCATTGGGTTTTCTTAACTCAGGTTTTCAATGAAGACGGGACAGTCCGATACTTCATTGACGCCAGCCAAGAAGATCATCGCAGTTGGATGACATACATCAAATGTGCCCGGAACGAACAGGAACAAAATTTGGAAGTGGTCCAGATTGGGAATAGCATCTTCTACAAAGCCATTGAGGTATGAAATGAGGCAGCCAAAATGAAGAGAGGTTCTCGGATATTGACTGCAGGGAATTGACCACCTCATCTCTGGCAGTAATTTGTTTCGTTTCATTTTTATTTTCATAGACCCATAGAGCCCCAGAACCATAGATTCATAGAACTACCATATCATAGTAACATAGAATAATAGAACCATAGAGTGGTGTGGTGGCCTAGAGGCGGAGCTCTCGCCTCACAATCAGGAGGCTGTGAGTTCGATCCTAGGTAGAGGCAGATATTTCTCTCTCTGGGCACAATGAGGATATATCTGCTGAACAAAACTCCGCATTGGCGACAGGAAGGGCAGTCGGCCAGCAAACACTCAGCTCCATTCAGTTGCCCAGACACTCTACCCGCAAGGGATTATGGGGTCGTTTAAAGAAGATGATAGAATGATAGAACCATAGATCCATAGAATTATAGAATCATAGAACATAGATTTATAGAACTATAATATAGAACAGAACAGAATAGAATAGAATTCTTTATTGGCCAAGTGTGATTGGACACACAAGGAATTTGTCTTTGGTGCATAAGCTCTCAGTGTACATAAAAAGAAAAGATACATTAGTCACGAATCATAAGGTACAACACTTAATGATAGTCATAGGGTACAAATAAGCAATCAAATCATACTAGGAAACAGTCAATATAAATCGTAAGGATACCAGCAACAAAGTTAGTCATGCAGTCATAAGTGGGAGGAGATGGGTGATGGGAATTATGAGAAGATTAATAGTAGTGCAGACTTATGACAGTGTTGAGGGAATTATTTGTTTAGCAGAGTGATGGCATTTGGGAAAAAACTGTCCTTGTGTCTAGTTGTTCTGGTGTGCAGTGCTCTATAGCGTCGTTTTGAGGGTAGGAGTTGAAACAGTTGATGTCCAGGATGCGAGGGGTCTGTAGATATTTTCCCAGCCCTCTAATATCATCGTTTCATAATAATATAGAATCATATATTCATAGAACTAGAGTATCATAGAATCATACGGTTGGAAGGAACAAATGCCTGGGCAACTTGCTTAATGACATCACGGTTCACTTAACAACCACACGATTGGCTTAACAACTGCCGTAAAGGTTGTCAGAAAATCAGCTCCAACTGGACTTACCACCACAATGCCATACCATAAAATTTCCAGTCCCAGTTATGGTTTTAAGTCAAGGAAGGCTACTTGCATTTACAGAAATTAGCTTCATTTTCTGTTCCAGAAAACAATAATTTCTCATCCTTACGTTTTAAAAGAGCCTCTTTTGGCTACATCCCCCCCCCCCAAAAAAGGCGTGTTTTTAAATTTGAGTTCGGGCCGAAGAAGCAAGCAAGCAAGCAAGCCGCATCCAAGTTTCCTTTGCTAAGCGACAATTTGTCATTAAAAAAAAAAAGGAAGTAAGTTTTTAAAAAAACCATCTCTGGGCGTCATAATTTCCCTTGGCTCGTGGTGAGCCTAGCTGTTGAGAACTGCACTTGAAAGCCTGCGTTGATCGATTTTAACAGCCTTAATGGCTTCGAGCTTTTGCAGTTTGAAAAATGCTAAAATTCCCGGCCACGCAAAAAGAGCAACGCACCCACCCAACTAACAGCTTGCGATGTTTGGTGGCGCCTCCTCGCGCCTCCTTCAATCTATGTGATTCCGCGGCGCGCATGAACTAAGTACTGTTATTACGGGGTGCCGCATTTCTTTTATGGCTCAGGTTGGGCTTCCTAATGGGAAAAATAACAGTTAAGATTCTCACTCTAGACTCTTTGAAAGGGGGGGAAAAAAAACCCCACCCAAGTCTCTCTTTCTCTCTCTCTCTTTTTTTCTCTCCCTCTCCCCTCTTTCTTTTCTAGAGGCTATCAAATGCTTGTTGATGGCAGCTGGCGGCTTATTTCTTTTTGCAGCCCACAAAAAAAGGGGAGATAATGACAGCAGTGAGACACTGTCAAAGAGAGCAAACAAGAAAATGGGACAGCGGGGTAAAACAGGTGAAGCTGTCAGGACCTTAAGCCGTCAGCAAAAAAAAAAAAAATCCTCTTTTTAAAAAGGAAAGAAAGAAAAGAAATTGTTGCCATCTAACTCCCTGACAATTACAGTAGAGGTATTTGCTTCTAATAGGTGCGAAATCACAGGAAGGATTTTACCCCTATTAGAAGGTGCGGTGTCTTGTCATTTCACACACAAACCCTCCCACAAACACACAAACACACATACACTCTCTCTGTGGCTTGCTGCCTGCAGCTCATGTAAGCACCTGTATTAAAAACCAATTAACAGAAACAGCCCCCCCCCTCTTTCCCTCTCCCCAAAAGTACGGTATTTCTCTGCAGCGTGAAAAATTAAATCCCATTTTATGCTCCGGATGGTTTTTGAACTCCCCAAATAAATACTTTCTCTCCTTACAAGCAAACCACCTCATTAGAGCTACGTTTTAAACTTGATTTAATTAATCGGCTCGGCTTTTACAGTCCTAATTTTTATTTTTTATTTTTTTAAGCCGTGGGTGCCTTCGAAGAGCTGAGCGGGAGTCTCAGCGACGGCTGGCTTTGGCTAATTTTTTAAAGATATAATTATCATTAAAAGATTAAACGGGAAGGAGGAAACCACGCGCCAGCTGCGATTTTGATCTTGCTTTCTTCGGTAGGGGTCCTTAGAGGATCAAAACAGTGGCTTTAGGTAGGCCTCGATTTACGACCACAATTGAGCCCAAAATTTATGTTGCTAAGTGAAACATTTGTTAAGCAAACCAGACAGATATAGAAGTGCGGATGACAGACTCCATCATTCCTCTGTAGAACTGGATCAGCAGCTCCTTGGCCAGTTTGAGCTTCCTGAGTTGGCACAGAAAGAACATTCTTTGTTGTGCTTTTTGGATGACGTTTAGGGAATCAATGCAGCTGTTCAGCTAGTAACATGGTTGAGAGCAGCACCTCAAAACTTATAGATTTGGGTAGTCATGGTTTAATGTTGGGTGAGGTCTTTCTTCTCTTGATCTGATGCAGCTGGTCTCCATCGCACGTTCTTAGAAAAGGACCGACAGAGTCAACCATGTTCTGTCTTCTCTCCTCTCCCTCCAGATGATCCCACCAGATCAAGAACTGCTGGTTTGGTATGGAAATTCTCACAATACCTTTTTGGGGATTCCTGGTGTCCTGGGACTCGAAGAGGAACAAAAGAAGAACAAACACGGTGAGGAGATAGCTAGATTCTTTTGGCGTTGGCAGGATCTTTCTGGGTCATATCACCGGGAAGACTCTTGCTTGACCTCCTGGTTGACACCTTCCTAGGCCGCCTGTCATGGCATCAGCACGCCAATATAACACCCATGATGTCCTCGGCATCCCTCATATTTAAGGCTTTGGCGATGGAGGCAAACTACAGTCCTGTAGATGATGGATGCAAAGGAAGTAATGGTTGCAGGGATAACCCAGGTCCTCTCACGATTAATCTTGCAGACTTCTCCACCAGAAGATAGATGAGATGGATGGATAGGCAGATCAATTGATAGATAGAAATGGACAAATTGGAGGGATACAGAGATGAAATGGATAGATTAGATAGATAGATAGATAGATAGATAGATAGATAGATAGATAGATAGACAGATAGATGATAGATGTTATATAGATAGATGATAGATTGATAAATGATAGATAGATAATGATAGATGATTGATAATTAGAGATAGATAGACAGAGACAGACACAGGCTGATAGATGTTAGATGATAGAAGATAGATGATAGATAGATAATGGTAGATAATTATAGATGATAGATAGATAGATAATGATAGATGATAGATACATAGATAGATGATAGATAGAAGATAGATATTAGATAGATATTAGATAATTAGAGATAGATAGATATAGATAGATGATAGATTATAGATGAGATAGATAGATAGATGATAGATAGAAGATAGATATTAGATAGATATTAGATAGATAATTAGAGATAGATAGATATAGATAGATTATAGATTATAGATGAGATAAATAGATAGATAGATAGATAGATAGATAGATAGATAGATAGATAGATAGGAATGGTATGGCTGGAGAGAGAGGAAGAAAGAGGGAGGGAGGAGTGGATGGATAGACAACTCCAGACTTCTCCCAGTAGCCAAATCTAATCTCTCAGTTTCTGAAGATCTCTCTTGATTTCCAAGCCCAGGGCTCTCGTGGCATCACAGGCCCAACAGCGATGACCTTCCCAAAACCCCATCCGTCGAAAGGCCCTTCTTATTCCTCCTCTTCCTTCCTTTCTCCCCCACCCCAGAGGACTTCCACCTGGTCGAAGGCGGGGTCAACACCGTGGGCCGCATGCGCTGCGTCATCTGCCACCGCGGCTTCAACTCCCGCAGCAACCTGCGTTCCCACATGCGGATCCACACCCTGGACAAGCCCTTCATCTGCCGCTTCTGCAACCGCCGTTTCAGTCAGTCCTCCACCCTCCGCAACCACGTCCGCCTTCACACTGGAGAGCGGCCCTACAAATGCCAAGTCTGCCAAAGCGCCTATTCGCAGCTGGCCGGCCTCCGGGCGCACCAGAAAAGCGCTCGGCACCGTCCTCCCAACGGGGCCCTGCAGCCACACTCGCCCGCTTTGCCTGTGCCGCACCCCACGGCTCTGGGACACCACATCCCCACCATGGTGCTGTGAAGGCTGGGGGGGGGACTCTCCTGGGGCATACGGAGGGCGGCTTACTCCAGGGAAAGCCAATGCTCCACAATGGGGGGGGGGGACTGCCTCTGTGGCCTCGTGATGCGATCCCCCGGGGACCTCGGGCTGCCCCGCGTTGGACACAAAAGTCCGGGTTACTGTACAGTCATCTCGGCTCTGTTCCGGTAGAGTGATGCGGACATAACGGTGCAGAATATTGGGAGAAGATGAGGTTTTTCAGCAGTTTTCGTGCGGGCAACCAGGCGAGGGAAGGAGTCTGGGCTGTTTTTTTTCCAAAAGAGACTTTTTAATTTGGAGGGAAGGATTTGGATCCGTTTTTTTGGGGTGGGGGGAGGACGAAGGAAGGAGGTTTTTCTGGCCCCCTCCGGTTGCGGGACGTGCAGCTGTCAGGGGAAGCAAGTTGTGGTAGAAACGGGACGTCAAAAAAGGAGAGAAAGAAGGAATGGCAGATTGTGGCCCAGCAGTTTCTCCACTCAGGCTTTCCAGAGGTCAGAGAGAAAGGAAGGAAAGAGAGAAAGAAAGAAAGAAATTGGTAAGATGCCCAGAATATCTTGTAGGGGAGATGGGAGCATAGAAATTTAATAAATAAAAGAAAAAGAAAAAGAAAGAAATTAATTCATGCCCTAGCAAGGATAATTAAATTTGAGCAAACTTGAGAAAGAAAAAAGAAAAGTAAAGAAAAGAAAAGAAAAGAAAGAAAGAAAAAGAAAGAAAGAAAGAAAGAAAGAAAGAAAGAAAGAAAGAAAGAAAGAAAGAAAGAAAGAAAGAAAGAAAGAAAGAAAGAAAGAAAGACAGACAGACAGACCCCTAAGGCAATGGGATTGCAATCTAGAATAGATCACAGGTTGCCTGAGTCTAGAGATGATTTCCCAGAAAGAAACAATTAATTTGAGGCAAATTCTGGATTTTGGTAGTTCTCCCATCGTTTCTCATTTCCCATTTCAGCCACAAGGGGGAGACTTTCCCTTCTCCCATTTGCAACATGGGACTAAGATGGCCCACGACTTATGAACATTCATTTAGCGACCATTCAAAGTTACAGTAGCACTGAATAAAGCGACTTACGGCCCGTCCTCACACTTATGTCCATCGATGTGTCTGATAACAATTCCAGGTGCTTCGCCACCAGCTCACTTTTACGACGGTCGCAGCTGTCTTCTGGCAAGCAAAATCAGGGCAGCAAGCTGGATTTTGGCTTCATGACATGTAATTTGCTTAACGACCGGTCCCAATTATGGTCGTAAGTCAAGGACTACCTGCAGATAACATCAGCCTACTTGGCAGGGGTGTTGTTCCCCAAAACACAAGGCCTGTTCTGAAGACTTCCTTCTGTTGCTGGGCCACAGTTCAAAAAGGATTTTTAAACAAATCAATAAAATCAATTTCCTTTCTTCCACTCCAGTCCCCTCCAACTACTAACCAGGCTGAACCCTGCTTAGCTTCCCAGCCCAAGACAAGATGGCTGCACCTCTGCACTGCATTTATCAGAGGTGAAATCAATCAATCAGTCTTTGCAAATGGCTCTCTCTTTTTAAAATATAATTTTAACCGGTTGCAACACTCCCGGTGTAAGTTTGTCTGATGGATAAAAAAACCAGTTGCCCACTCACGTTTAAAACTTGGAGGGGAAAAAAGAAAGACTTGAAATAAAAACAGAGACATTGTTTTAGGAAAGGATTCTACTCATCTTTGTATCCTGGGATTGCAACTTTCCTAGGTTTCTCCAGGAAAAAAAAAATTGTGCAATTTCTGTCCTTTTGTCAAATCAAAGTTTTGCAAATGTTTGGTACCGACTTCCACCTTCGACGTACAGAAGAAACAGTTTCTTTGCCGAATTCCCATCATGGACCTAAAATGGGATTCAGGAATGGACAGGGTTTTTTTTCTGTAAAATAGACATTTTTAAGAAACGCAAAATTCCCCGGCTGCATAGGAAAAAATCTCTCCTGATAAGGATAAGATGTCGTGAGTTGTCATACACAGTGGCCACTTTAACCTTGTAGATAAAAATAATGTAAAACACCTATTTACAAAAGGGGAAAAAAACCCAACACTTTAATATCAATTATATGATAATTGTATGATGTACACAGCTGTAAATACATAAATATATATAAATATATAAATATATCTTTGTATCTCTCATGCTCTTGTATTCTAAATAAAGAATAATAATAAAAACATGAACATAATATGACGTGAAATGAAAAGCTTTTTGGGACGGATAGTTTATAACTGTTGGGTTCTGGGAATAAGGGAAGAGGTGATTTCAAGTTTCTAGTCCTTTTTGTTCCCTTTGCTGGCCTGGGCTGATTTTTCTTTGATTTTTAAGAAATGCTTACACTCCTTTCACAGATCAGTTTTACAATTTGATGAATGTTTCTCAACCTCCGTAACTTTGACTCCCAGAATTCCCCAGATAGCATGTGTGGACTTCAATTCCTAGAATTCCTCAGCCAGTGGACTTCAAATCCCAGAATTCCTCAGTTCATCATAATACAATTTGATGTAGGGAAATGTGTGAACGCTGTCACAATTGGTTTCCTTTCCCAAAACCTTACAATTCTGTGATTCTTCGAATCTATAAATCTATGAAATTCAAATTTGCCAATTTAGAAAAGCATTTTTTGGGGGGAGGTCCTCAATGGACCCTTCCAAAGGAAGGAAAGTGGAACTGGGTACAGTTACAACAATTTGTTTAGTGACATTCAAAGTTATAAAGACAATGGAAAAAGTGACTTTATGACTGTTTTCCACACTTATAACCCCCAAGGTCATATGATCAAAATGGAGATGCTTGGCAACTGGTTCATATCTATGAGGATCGCAGGGTCACATGTTCCCCTTTTGCAAACTTCTGACAAGCCACATTCACTTAACAACTGTGTTACTAACTTAACAACTGGCGTGGTTCCCTTAACTGTGGCAAGAAAGGTCATAAAATGGGACAAAACTCACTTAACACTTTCAATTATGTGCTTAATGTAAATTAACAGCAGACTTGAGGAAATAAAGCATATCCTCTAAATGGGCACTAGAGGGCGACAGAGCACCGCTTTTAAAAATAGGCGCAGAGCTGGACTGCATCCGCCTTCTCCAGCCCTCTTTTATTTATTTATTCTTTTATTTATTTATTTTGTCAAGCATATATAAGATTACAGATAAAAGTATGAACATGATTATGAATACATGAAATGGACATTAGGACAGGGACGGAAGGCACGCTGGTACACTTATGCACACCCCTTACAGACCTCTTAGGAATGGGGTGAAGTCAACAGTAGACAGTCTAAATTAAATTAAATTAATTAATTAATTAATTAAATTAAATTAAATTAAATTAAAGTTTTGGGGGTTTGGGGAAGACACCACAGAGGCAGGTAGTGCATTCCAGGCATTGACCTCTCTGTGGCTGAAATCGTATTTTCTGCAATCGAGTTTGGAGCAGTTTACCTTGAGTTTGTATCTATTGTGTGCTTGTGTATTGTTGTGGTTGAAGCTGAAGTAGTCATTGAGAAGTAGGATGTCGTAGCAGATAATTCTATGTACTACGTTTAGGTCAGACTGAAGTTGGCGTAGTTCTAAATTGTCTAGGCCCAAAATTTGGAGTCTGGTGGCAGAAGGTATTTTATTACGGGTAGAGGAATGGAGGACTCTTCTCGTGAATTATCTCTGGACTCTCTCGATTGTATTTATATCTGATATGCAGTGCGGGTTCCAGACAGCTGAGCTGTATTCGAGAATTGGTCTAGCAAAGGTTTTGCATGCCCTAGTTAGCAGTACAACATTACCAGAGAAGAAGCTACACAAGATTAGGTTAACAACTCTTAATGCCTTTTTGGCAATGTTGTTACAGTGAGCTCTGGCACTTAGATCTTTAGAGATGAGTACTCCAAGGTCCTTGAGAGAGTGAGGGTCATCTACAAGGTCATGTCCATCTAATTTGTATTTTATGTTCTGATTTTTTTTTTTTTTTGCCAGTGTGTAAGACAAGAGCATTTTGTTGGTTGAGATTTGAAGTTGCCACTTTGTTTGACCAATCTGACACATAGTCAAGGTCTTTTTGAAGGGTAGCTGCATTGTCGGTAGTGTTGAATAGTTTTACATCATCAGCAAAGAGAACGCAGTTGCTTTTAATATGATCACAAAGGTCATTTATGTAAAGTATGAAGAGTGTTGGACCTAACATCCTGCCTTGGGGAACACCGCTGTTAACAGGTACAGGATTTGATAGAGCGCTTCCTATTTTGCCTGTTTGACGGGAAGGCAGCTATCCATTTATGCAGGAGTCCAGAAATGCCGTTAGTATTAGAAGTAGTTTGTCGTGTACCACTGAATTAAAGGCTTTACAGAAGTCTATATAAATTGCGTCTATTGCTTTACCCGGATCGAACCGTGTAAGTCCATAATGTTTTTGCAGTGTAGTAGTTGCAGATTACAGGATAAATTTTTCCATGTCAGCCATTGGCCTGACATGGTCTATATAAGCTCTCCTTCTTGAGCAGGGGGTTGTTGGACTAGAAGACCTCTAGGGACCCTTCCGGCTCTGTTATTCTCTTTGCATCATCCCCTCTGCGTGGGTGGGTGGGTGTCAAATGCAGCCGTTGCAATGGCGGGAAGTCTCGGTGCCTTAGAGATGAATCAGAATAGAGCTGGAAGGGACCTTGGAGGTCTTCTAGTCCAGCCCCCTGCTCAAGCAGGAGAATCCCAGCGCCGCGAATGGAAGCCGGAGGTGTCGCATTCTGCGCTCGCAACCCTTTCCTCTAAGGGCCCGCCAGGAGTAGACATGCCGGCCGCAGAGGCCGCGCGCGGGAGGTTCTGCGCCTGCGCGCGTGGCCGGTGCGCCCTCAACCAAGATGGCGGCGTTGGAATTCAGGCTTCCCACGGCGCGGAAACGTTTAGCGTCCAACTTGTCCCGGAGCAGCGGCGGGGACCGGGATTTAGTGGTCCCCGGGGACACCATCACCACGGACCCGGGCTACATGCGGTGAGGGCGGACGCCTCTTCCTTCCCCCCCCCCGCGGGGCTGCATTGGAGCCCCAGGGTGCGCTTTGCGCATGCTCAGGAGCCTCCTTTGGTTCTTGCAACGCTCTGCGCATGCTCAGGAGCCCCCTCCTCCCCCCCTCCCGCTCCAGGAGCCTTTTGCATTCTGCTGCAAGAGGACTGCAAGGGGAGGCGGGAGGGGTCTCCTGAGCATGGGCAGAGAGCATGGAGCCAGCCACCCTTGGCACCCCCCCACCCCACCCCATGGAAAGGCGGTGGTCCAAAAGGGTGGGGGAGGGGGGGCTCCTGGGGCAGTAAGAGAGGCTGCATGAAGGAGGGTGGGAGGAATTGGATTTCCCAGCGTGCAGGTCTGGAAAGATTTTGCAGAAAAGAAATGTGAAAAAATTGTATCTATCATTTTTCTGTCCATCTATCTATCCATCTATCATCTATCTATCTTCTATCAATCAATCATCTATCATCCATCCATCTATCCATATCTATCTATCTATCTTCTATTTATCAATCAATCATCTATTGATTATCTATCTATCCCTCTATCTGTTCATCCATCCATCCTTTCATCTATCATCCATCCATCTATCTTCTATCTATCAATCATCTATCATCCATCTATCATCCATCCATCCAATCATCCATCCGATGATGGATGATAGACATCAGATGATCATCAGATGATAGACATCTATCTATCTATCTATCTTCTATTAATCATCTATCGATTATCTGTCTATCCATCTATCTTTCCATCCATCCATCCTATCATCTATCATCCATCATCCATCCATCCGTCCATCTATCATCTATCTATCTACTATCTATCAAATCTATCGATTATCTATCCATCTATCTATCCATCCATCCTATCATCCATCTATCATCTATCATTCATCCATCCATCCATCCATCTATCCATTTATTATCTATCTTACTACCTACCTACCTACCTACCCATAATCTATCATCCATCCATCATCTATCGATCATCTATCTATCTATCTATCTATCTATCTATCTATCTATCTATCTATCATCCATCCGTCTATCTATCTATCAATACGTATCTATCCATTAACCCACCTATCATCTCTTTCTCTATCCTCTGTTTATCTTCTTTCTATCTATCATCCATCGCCTATCTATCTTCTACCTATTATCTATTTGTCATTTATTTGTCACCCATCGGAGAGGTCCTTGGGGCTCTCTTGAGTTCCTTGGTTCATTTTTTTGCAGACCATTTCATGACCCAAACTAGGTAACATCATCAGTGCTAGAAGGCTGTTGGGTTTGTGGAGAAGGGGAGGAGGGGGAGGAGGACTGAGGAGTCCTTGGTCCTCTCTGAACTGGGTTGTTTTTGAGCTCAAAATTTCTGTTGTTAAGCGAGACATTTGTTAAATGAGTTATGCCCCATTTTATGACCTTTTTGGCCCTGGTTGTGTAGTGTATCACTGCAGTTGTTCAGTTAGTAACACGGTTGTTAAGTGAATCTGGCTTCCCCATTGACTGGGGATGTTTCAACGGTCATAAGTGTGAAAAACGGTCATAAGTCACCCTTTTCAATGCCGTCGTAACTTTGAAAAGTCACTAAATGAACTGTTGTACATTGAGGACTACCTGTAATCTATCTATCTATGTCTATATCTCTATTCCAAAAGGATGTAAAACAATCCACAAGTTTTTTCCCCCTCGTTTCTCTCCTCCCCTGTTTTCATTTTCTCTCCCTTTGGTTTTGCTTAGGGGCCACGGAACCTACCTTGGGGATGAGAAGCTGATCGCTTCGGTGGCTGGAGTTGTGGAGCGAGTGAACAAACTGGTGTGTGTCAAAGCGTTAAAAACCAGGTGAGAAAAAAAAAGAAGTGGTGTTTAAAATACCTGATCCTAGGAATTATAAGCCAGGTACGCTGTGCGTGGAATTGAACTTCAGTTCCCAGAATTCCCCAGCCAGCCTGATGATAGATGATGTATTGATAGCATGGCTGGCCGGGGGGGATTCTGGGAGAGTTGAAATCCAGGCTTTTTAAAAGGTTACTAAATGGAGAAAAGCCTTTAAATTAAATTCATAATTCTCCACGGAGGACTTCGGTGCGTCGGCTTGATTATCGTAGATCCGAGCTTTTTCTTCCTGTTCCTGTTCCCACCTCTGATTTAATGCTGGAAAGTAACCCCGTAATCTCAAGGGTTGCTTTCAAGATGAGCGCATTTATTACGGCATAAAGTTACACGTTCTCTACCTTTAGCTGGGGAGTTCTTGGATCATGGTTCTTCTTGATTTTCCTGGCAGGTACAATGGTGAGGTTGGAGACATCGTGGTTGGGCGAATTACAGAGGTAATGTTTTCATTTAAAACATACACCCCTCCCTCCTTCCTTCCTTCCTTCCTTCCTTCCCTCCTTCCCCTCCTTCCCTTCCTTCCTTCCTTCCCTTCCTTCCTTCCTTCCTTCCTTCCTTCCTTCCTTCCTTCCTTCTTCCCTCCCTCCCATCCATCCATCCCCCTCCATCCCTTCTTTCCCCCTTCCCTCCCATCCATCCCTTCTTCCTTCCTTCCTCCCTCCCTTCCATCCATCCCCCTCCCTCCCTTCTTTCCTCCCCTCCCTCCCTCCCATCCATCCCTTCCTTCCTCCCCCCTCCCCCTTCCTTCCTCTTCCTTCCCCTTCCTTCCTTCCTTCCTTTCTCCCTCCCTCCCTCCATCCCTCCCTCTTCCTTCCTTCCCCGTCCCTTCCTTCCTCTTCCTTCCCCTTCCTTCCTCCCTTCCTTCCCTCCCTCCCTCCTCCTTCCTTCCCTCCCTCCCTCCCTCCCTGAAATATGCAGAACCGCAAGAATTCTGTCTTTATTTTTTTCCAGTGGGAGTTCTGAATTTGTATTTTTTTTAAAAAGTGCCATGTTGAAAATATTTGCTACTACTTTTTTCTGCGCTGCTGGGTTTGTCCACTGCATGGAACAATCTGTTAGGAATGTAAAACATAGGACAATAACTCCTAAAATGACGTCTGCTGAAGAATGGGGTGGTTTAGGACAACCAATTATCTGCCAAATATTGCCTATTTCAATATTTGAATATATTGTTCAATATTCAAATATTGTTTGGGTGGACAGCATTTTGAAGAAGTTTGGATATATATATATATATATACATATATATATAATTTTTTTTAGGTTCAGCAGAAACGATGGAAGGTCGAGACCAACTCTAGGCTAGAATCTGTGCTATTGCTCTCATCCATGAATCTTCCAGGTGGAGAGTTGGTGAGTTTGTCCAAGGTCCCTTCCAACTCTGTTATGCTAAATTCTAAAAGTTCCTGCAGCGGAGATGCATTCCTTGTATGTCTAAAAGCACCCTTGGCCAAATTAAAGTTATTCAATTCAATTTGTATTTGTTCCCCAGAGACGCCGGTCTGCAGAAGACGAGCTGGCCATGCGGGATTTCCTCCAGGAAGGGGACCTTGTCAGCGTATCCTTTTTTTGGGGGGGGGAACCTCTTTTTAAGAATCTTGTTCTGACCCTGTTGCTGATGGAGCACCGTTGCCCATACTTTGGGATGATGGGACCTGCATTCCATCCCTCCTGCAAGTCGCCACGTTGACTGCTGAACATTTTTATGGTTGGCTTGTGTTAAAACCTCGTTTGCTGGGCTCTGCCCATAATACCAAGCTTGGTCAGTGTTTTTCAACCTTGGCCCCTTGACTCCAACTCCCAGAATTCCTCAGCTAGCATACATTTCCCAATACCTTTAGCTCTCACACCTGGCTAGATGCTGGGAAGAGCAAGTCAGTCATTCTGGAAGGAGAACTTTGAATAAAGTTCAGATCTTTCAATCTTTGAAAATCGGTTGGCTTTGTATTTATCGGTGGTAGAAATGCAGGGGAAACCCAACTGTGGTTTTATTTCCTTAAATGCTCCCGGCAGGCCGAAGTCCAAGCGGTGTTTTCCGATGGGGCAGTCTCGTTGCACACTCGAAGTCTTAAATACGGAAAGGCGAGTTGCTTTTCATTTCTCCTTAATGCGTTGAGAGAGGACTTCGTAAGGGGGAGCAGGAATGGCTTTGTGGAACAGGAGGCAGAGCTGCAGTCAAGACCACCCCAAAAACAACGAATATTCTTCATATATCAAATATATAATCTTTTTTTTCCCCAACCTGCTGACCCTCACTTTTATTCCTCGTGGCCTTATTATTTCTCTTTCCAGCTCGGCCAAGGGGTCCTAGTCCAGGTCTCCCCATCCTTGGTGAAACGTCAGAAAACTCACTTCCACGACTTACCGTGTGGGGCCTCCATCATTCTTGGCAACAATGGGTATATCTGGATTTACCCCACCCCTGAGCAGAAAGAGGATGAGGCTGGGGGCTTTGTGGCTAACCTGGAGGTGAGTTGACGGCTTGGACCGAAGAGATTGCAAAAACTTTGGGGAGCTCATGAGAAAAGCCCCACGAGACCCCTCATGTACTGTGTTAACAACTGCTAACCTCCCCATTCCTGGAAGTCTCTTTTGTAATTCTAAAATTTTTCTTGTGTGTCCAGTCACACTTGGCCAATAAAGAATTCTATATTCTTTTATGTTTTTCTTTTTTTTTAAAAAAAATCTTAAATTATTCTGTTTTTAAATGCTTAATTTTATTGATTAAATGGTACTTTGCGCAGAGCTCTACTCCGAGGCAGATGAGTGGTGAAGAAGTGTGATAAATAAATAAGAAAGAAAGAAAGATGGAAGGAAGGAAGAAAAAGAAGAGAGGAAGAAAAGGAAGGGAGGAAGGGAGAAGGAGGGGAAGGAAGGTAGCAAAGAAAAGTAAGAAAACAAAAGAAAAAGAAGGAAAGAAAGAGAAAGGGAGGAAAGAGGAAAAGGGAGGAAGGAAGGGAGGAAGGAAAGAAACAAGGAGAGAAAGAAAGAAAGAGTGGAGTATTTCAGCACCGTCATAACTTTGAACGGTTGCTGAATGAATGGTCATAAGCGGAGGACTACCGGATACGCTCCAAGCATGAAGCTGCTAAGGTCCCGTGTCTGTCTTTTCAGCCGGTGCCCCTGTCTGACCGCGAGGTCATCTCCCGCCTCCGAAACTGTATCCTGGCTCTGGTCTCCCAGAAGATGACTTTGTACGACACCAGCATCCTTTACTGTTACGAAGCTTCTCTCCCTCACCAGGTAGAGCCTCTCCTTCGCATTGGGCACCGGGTCTCCACCGGGGAACCTGAAGGTTCCTTCAAGGTTTCGCAGGGAAACGGGTTGGGTTGCGCGCCCAACCCCTTGGCGGGCTGAGTTTCTCAACCTTGGCAAAGGGGAAGACCGTGTGGACTTCCAGCCCCCAGAGTTGCCCGGCAGGAACTCAAGTTAGCAAGGGGGCTTCCAAGCCAGAGATGGGGGGAAGAGGGAAGCGTGACGTTTATCTGGATGTCTCCTCCTTTCCTGCAGATCAAAGACCTTCTCAAACCAGAAGTGGTGGAGGAGATTGCGTTGGAGACACGCCAGAGGCTCCTGGAACTGGAAGGATGATGGTAGAGAAGGAGTGGTGAGGAGCGGCAAGGATTCCTTCCTTCCATCCATCCATTCATCTCATCTTCCTTCTTTTCTTCCAAACCTCCCTCTCTTTTTTTCCATCTTTTCTTCTTTCTTTCTTAACCCATCCCTCTTCCATCCATCCCATCCATCTCCTTCCTTCCTTCCTTCCATCCATCCATCCATCCCATATGTTCCTTCTTTCCATTTTTTCTTCCCTCCTTTTCTTCCCTCTTTTCTTTTCTTCTTATCCCATCCCTCTTCCTTCTTCCATCCATCCATCTCCCTCCCTCCCTCCCTCCCACCATCCATCCATCCATCCATCCATCCATCCGATTCATCTCATATATTCCTTCTTTCCATTTTCTCTTCCCTCCCTCCTTTTCTTCCATCTTTTCTTCCCTTCTTATCCCATCCCTCTTCCTTCTTCCATCCATCCCATTCATCTTCCTTCCTTCCTTCCATCCATCCCATTCATCTCATCTCTTCCTTCTTTCCATCTTTCATTTCCTTCCCTTCTCTTCTTCCATCGTCTCTTCTTTCCTTCTCCCATGCCTCTCTTCCTTCTCCCATCCATCTCCTTCCTTCCATCCATCCATCCATCCATCCATCCATCCATCCATCCATCCATCCCATTCATCTCATATCTTCTTTCCATCTTTCCTTCCCTCCCTCCCCTCTTCCATCTTTTCTTCTCTCCTTATCCCATCCCTCTCTTCCTTCTCCCATCCATCCCATTCCTCTCCTTCCTTCCTTCCTTCCTTGCGCGGCCTGGTTTCCTAACGGGCTGTGGTCCAGTAGTAGGCTGCGGCCCAGGTTGTTGTGGCACCCAGGCCACAAAGAGCTGTGGTCCCATTGTGTGTCCATCTTCTCCCTTTCTGTGAATAACATCAAAACCTCGGACATCTCCCTGATCCATGACATCTTAACTTGGAAATATAATTGGAGAAGGTTCTAGACTCAACAGGAAGGATGAGCAGAAAGGAAGAGCTAATATAATTCTCATCCTTCTTTTTCTCAAACAACATCTCTCTGCATTCCAGTTTTTTATTCCTTTTTTTTTTGTTTGTTTGTTTGAACATTGCTCCGGTGCTTGTCCCTAGCCTGATAAATGCTTGATTTTGACATTCAGCATCGATTGAAAAATCCAAAAATTGCACAACAAAAGAGATTTCTTAAGCATAAAAACCGTTCATTAGCGCAAAAAAGGATCTGATGTTAAAAAAAGAGAACCTACCCATCTCCAATTCCTGTGTAATTTACGTCTCTCCTCCTTAAACTGTGTATCTTAATGAAAGAAAATGTTACAAGCCGCCTGGGAATCACCTATGAGCAAGTTTGGAAGGCTATTTAAATGTGTCGAATCAATAAATAATCTTTTAAATTTCTATTTTTACATCGTGGTTTGCAAAGGCAGCCGAGAGAATAGTCCTCCGAGTTTGGGGGCAGCAAATTGGAATTGCTGTCTTTGTAATTTTGCGGTTGCTGCAAAAAAAAAAGTTGTATTTAATTCGGAGCGAAACCAAATTCCGAATTGTGTCTCGTTTGCTCAGTTCTTTGGACCAGGGAAATAAGTTCTAATTCTGAGTTCTAATCCTGCCTTGGATGCAAAAGCCAACTGCGTGACCTTGGGGCCAGCCACTCTCTCTCAGCCCTAGGAAGCAGGCAAATGGCAAGCCACTTCTGAAATCTTGCTAAGAAAACGGCAGAAATTTGTGTGTGTTTTTTTCTCTCCAAATTGTCGTTGGAAGTCAAGATTCAGTAACTCAAGGTGGAAGGGACCTTGGAGGTCATCTAGTCCAGCCGAGAACTGTACTAGGGATTTGAACTGCTGACCTTGCATCAAGCCTGCCTTTAAAAAAATAAAATAAAAAAATCTCGTCTTTCCTTCTGGATAAAAATTACAGGATAAATAAATAAATAAATGGAATTTGTCCGCCAGGTTTTAAGGTGCAATTCACCACAATTTATTGTTTCTATTTTTAAAGAATTTTTTGTGGAATTCATTACTGTGGCATCAGGACTTTGAAACGAAGGATACATTAGTTCCTTTATTTACATTTTAAACTTTATTATATAATATAATATATAAGATATATAAGATATATAATATATAAGAATTTCAAAAAAAACCTCCAAAAAACTCAGGATACATTAGTTTCTTACGTTTTTTATATTTTTAAACTGGTGGCTTATTACAGAGATTTAGGAGTTTGCTTTTAATTAAAAATTAAATAAAATAGAAATCTCTTTATTAAGAGATGTCTGGGCCCCGGGCATCCCTGGCAGAGGATGATGGGTACCAGAGCCCAACACGACAAATGAGAATCGGGTTGGGAAAAGGCTTTGGGCTGTGGAGAATGGGATTCTTTGCTCAGCCCTGTGGATGATGGGGGTTGCAGTCCAATGCACTTTAGGTAAAGAGAAGGGGGTCTGCAGGCTGGGGATGATGGCAAATAGAGGAGGGAAGTGCCAGAGTCAGATATGAGGATGGGAATCCTCACCCAACCCCATGGACAATGGGGGTTGTAGTCCAGTATCCTTGAGGTAAAGAGAAGGGGTGAGGGGGTCGGCTGGCTGGGGATGATGGGAAACGGGAGTGCCAAAGCCAGACACTCCACCCAGGGAGGACGGCAGTGGAGGATGGGAATCCTCACCCAGCCCGGTGGACAATGAGGGTTGTAGTTCAGTATTCTTGAGGTAAAAAGAAGAGGGGTGAGGGGGTTGGCGGGCTGGGGATGATGGAAAACATAGAAGGGAAGTGCCAAAGCTGGACACCCCACCCAGTGAGGATGGCAGTGGAGGATGGGAATCCTCACCCAGCCCTGTGGGCAATGGGGGTTGTAGTCCAGTATCCCTGAGGTAAAAGGAGGGGGTGGTGTGTGTGTGGGGGGGGCGGCGGGGGGTGATGGGCCCAGGGGGGAGGTAGCGCAAAAGCGGGGCCCGTCTGGGGGCGGGGGCTGCGGAGCATGGGGCGGCAGGGGAGGATGGGCTCGCGGGCCACCCACTGGCGCTGCCTGGCTGGCGCTCCTCCTTCTCCTCCTGCCGGGCGCCGCCCTCGCCCTCCCGCCGGCCCTCCGCAGCCATGGCCGCCGCCGCCGCCACCGACACCGCTGCTCCTTAGGCCTGAGAGGCCGCCCGACGACCCCCGGCCGGACCCCCGACGACCCCTTCGGCTTCTCTTCTGCTGGCCTCGCCCGCCCTCCGGAGCTCCCTTTTTTTCCTTCCCTTCTTCTCCCTCCCTCCCTCCCTCCCTTTCCTTCCTTCTCTTTTTCCCTTTATCCCCTTCCTTCCTTCCTTCTTTCCTTCCTTTCTCTCCTTCCTTCCTTTTCCCCTTTTCTTCTTTCCTTTCCTTTTCCCCTTTCTCTCCTTTCTCTCCTTCCTTCCTTCCCTTCTTTTTCCCTTCTCTCCTTCTCTTTTTCCCTTTATCTCCTTCCTTCCTTCTCTTTTCCCCTTTATCCCCTTCCTTCCTTCTCTTTTTCCCTTTATCCCCTTCCTTCCTTCCTTTTCCCTTTCTCTCCTTTTTCCCTTTCTCTCCTTCCTTCCTTCTTTTTACCTTTCTCTTCTCTCCTTTCCCTTTTCCCTTTCTCTCCTTTTTCCCTTTCTCTCCTTCCTTCCTTCTTTTCCCCTTTCCCTCATCCTTCCTTCCTTGGCTTCACCATTTCATTAACCTCCCTTCTTTTCTTTTCCTTTCACTTTCACTTTCAGACTCCCTCAGACTTTCCTTCCTTCCTTCCCTCCTTCCTATTTTCTTTCCATAGTTCCTTCCCCTGGTCCCTCCTTTTCTGATCTCACCCTTTTTCTTTCCTTTCGTTTTCTTCATCTTCCTTCCTTCCTTCCTTCCTTCCTTCCTTCCTTCCTTCCTTCCTTCCTTCCTTCCTTCCTTCCTTCCTTGCCTTTCCCTTCCCTTCCCTTCTTTCCCACATTTTCCCCCAATCCTGTTTTTCTCTAACCTCCCCCAGCATAATTTTAAGGGGGCTCTTCCGATCTCCATTCTCCGAGGCTCCCAACTTTGCCTGGGTCTTCCTGCGGCTGCTGAATCCGATGCTGGACCCCAATCTTCAGGAACTGACTGACCGCCCCCCCACCAAACACCTGCTTTTGAGGACAACCTGACTGGCACTGACCTGAGATGACCCTCCGTTGCAACTCTTCCTCCCATCTCTTTCGCTATCCGTCTCTTTGGACTAACCTCCTCCTTCCTTCAAATGTTTTGCCTCTCGGAAGATCCGATTGTGGCTGGGTTTATTGAATTTATTATCCGCGAATATCGCCGCTTCTTCACAATTTGGTCCTTAAAATGCCCCCCACTCTGCATCAATTCTCATTTTACCTTCCTAGGAATGTCCAAAGAACAGAATCGGGGCAGAAGCAATGCTAAAATGACTACGGCACCCATAAACGTTTGCATCGGACCGAATATTACTGAAAGATTCCCTTGCCTTCCTCTTACAGATGCAAATTCGAGGACTTTTATGGAGGACTGGTGAACGGACCAAAAACAAAAAAACTACAATTTTTAGACTCTTGTTTGATTCCCTTGGAATAACGCTTGAAGCCACAGGGATTTGGCCTTAACGCTATGCCAGAAAAAGGGAACTTTTCCGTGAGTGTCTTCTTGCAATCTGAGGATGGCCTCACCTTTCCACAGGTGAAGTTGCAAGACGGAGCAAAGGAGGGCTCTTTAAAAATCCGGGCCTGCTGACCGGATGGAAGTTTGCAAATTTACGCAGGGCTGAAAGAGGAGAACGGGAGACGAGAAGCGTGGCTTTTGCTTGGAAAGGCCGGTGCTGGGAAGGCGACGCTGAAGTTTACTGTCCTGTCCCGGAAAGGCTGCGTTGGTGTGTCTCGCGTGGGAGGAAAAATCTATGGGTCAGCAACCTGGAAAAGTCCTGGGCGACCAACGGAGGCCCAGTCTTTCCGCCTTGCATTTTATCAAAGGTGGGGTGAAGAAAGAAGCCTCATCAAAGCAAGGGGCCACCCATTGCAACGTCTTTCTGGAGCATGGTAAGAGTTCCTGGTTTGTTTTGAGCAGGATGGGTGGGTTCACCTGGCCAGGTGAATTTGCATGGGGGGAGAGGGGAGGGGCCTGAGCCTTTAAGACTGAACATTCAGGTAGAGCTCTGTTTAACGACTGATTTGAAGTTGCAACGGCGCTGAAAAAAGTGGACTTATTTGTCCGTTTTTCACACTTAAAAACCGTTGCAGCATTCTCACGGTTACATGATCAAAATCCGGACGCTTGGCTCAATAGTTACGACGGTGGCAATGTCCCGGTGGTCATGTCATCCGCTTCTGCGACCTTCTGACAATGCCAAGTCAACGGGGTTAGCCAGGTTCATTTAACAACTGCACGGTTCACTTAACAACCGGGTTAAAAAAAAAAACGCCATCAAGTCGGGCGCGACTCACTTTAACCATTCCCCTTGCTTAGCGATGGGAATCCAGATCCCAATTTTTGGCCGTAAGGGAAGGACTCCCTATTTGTAGGTAATAACTATAATGCTTTTCTGTGTTACTCAAACCAGGTTTGAAAGAGAAGGAGGCCGTGATCACACATGCTAAGTGATGCTTGTTTGTGGCCTATCACAATATGTAGGCTTGTGGGCTACACTTGTCGTGATGTTTAAACAGTGGCTCAGCCCCAAAGTTTTTCAACAAACTGTAGTTTACCTAAATCAGTGATGGCTAACCTTTTCCGGACCAAGTGCCCACAGCGTGTGCATGCACGTGTGAATGCACATGTGCCTGAACCCCCAAAATGCAATGCATGTGCAGCCCCTTGCACATGTGTGCGTGGCCCCCTGCATGTGCCCCGCCCCCCACATGCACGCACCCTCTGCATATGCTCTGCCCCCTCGCACATGTGCTGCCCTTGAATGTGTGTGTGCACCACGCATGCACCCCGCCCCTTGTGCATGCATGCCCTGCCCACCACACATGCACAGTAAAGATGCGAAGACTAGCTGGCCGGCAGGATGCGTGTACATACGCGGCAGAGCTGAACTGGGGCGATGATTCGCGTGCCCACAGAAAGGGCGCTGCGTGCCACCTCTGGCATGCATGCCATTAAGTTCACCATCACAGACCTAAATAATGGCTCGAGCGGTTGTTTGAACACAGCCGGTCTCTTGAGATAGTTTTCAAGTGCTTCCCATGATTGGCCTGAAGAATGAAGGAAAAGAACAAACACTGGTCTGTGGTTATTAGGGAGAAAAAAAATATCTAAGAAAATAAATCTCAATAAACGAGGAAAAGGAAGTTGTGCAGACGCAACCTGCTCTCCGTAAGCTGCCACAAATGTGGGATTTGTATGACACATGAAAGCAACCACAACAAGAGTTTGTGCGATCTATGTGTTGAATTGCTTCTGAGTAGGGTTTAATTTGCTTTCGTTGCAAGCCTTTAAATAAAAGATTTGAGCTACTTAGTAATCATTGAATCAGCTGGGTGATTAGTTCGGCTCCAGACACATTTCCCTTATTTATTTATTTTATACATTTATTTATCTCTCTCGCCTCTTCCTATATAAAGGTAAAGGTTCCCCTCGCACATATGTGCTAGTCGTTCCCGACTCTAGGGGGCGGTGCTCATCCCAACACCGGCAGCACAGCAAGAGGTGAGATCTTTTTCTTTCATGAGCTTCTATTTCGTTTTCAGGGAAACAGAAGCTCACAAAAGAAACGCCACGGCTCCCTGTCACTCAAAATATGCGTCACAACCGCCAATGTGCGACACCCACCGACACACGGTTTATTGAGCTTTTCAACCCCCAGTAGGCCAACCATGGATAATTCCAAGAAAAGAAAAAAAAGTTTCAGAAGAAAAGAGAACATTTAATTCAACTACATATGCTAGTTTTGTGGCCATTCAGGAAATAGTCAGGCATAGAAGGGTTTCGTGGCTCCCGGTGTTTTCTTTTCTGTGGGAAATGGGTCCAAATGGCTCTTTGAGTGTTTTAAGGTTGCAGGCCCCTGGTTTAGAGCATTGTGTCTTATAAACCAGGTACAGCACTTTGCAAGCAAACCACGTTTATTTTAAAGCTGGATGGTGGAGAGCCCTTCCGTGACCGTTGGAAGAAGGAAAATCTTATTTTTTTTCTGCTCTTGTCCTTTTGCAAAACGTCAGATGTAGAGCTGACGTTTGTGGGTGTTTTTTGACTTTTCCCTTGATTGACAAATACATTTCCACCCCAGAGTCTTAAAGGGGCTTGAAAAACAAGATTTTTTTTTTCTCCTGTTCGCATGACTCTCACAGACCTTCCCGCCCCCCACCCTCCCCACTGCCTCTTTCTCACTGTCCTCTGCAACCAACCCGTCCTGGAGCCGAACTTTCTACGGAGCTGAACTTTTGACTTTGGTTTCTCTTTAATTCAAGGGTTGAGAGCAGGATCCCTTTTCCAAATGGGATTTTGCAAACAGCTGCCCAAGCCCAGCCTCGGCCTTGCAGTTGGACTCTGATTCTCCTGCTTCGCCGACCTCTGGTTTGTGCGTCTCATTCTTGGCAGCCTTGTCTTCTTCTCCAGGGAGACCTGGACTACGTCCGAAATCTTGAATTATGGATTGTTTTGTGGTTGATCCGCAGAGAACCATGTTTGGGATGTTATCGCTAGGAGAAAGTTTCCCTACCTTAAAAACCACACTACTTGTGGTCCAGACGCACAAAGTTTATGAAGCACGCAAACACACGAGCCCTTTTCCTTTGGGTAGCTGGCAGTTGTTTTTCCTTGCCTCTTTATTATGTGGGTAGCTAAAACTCTGGGTTTGAGTTACAGATAATTTCCACCGAGTGGGATAACAGAGAAAGCAAATATAAAATTGGTGTCTTGGGTTTTAGCCAGTCCACGCTGCCCTGGTGCGACTCGGAGTTCAAAAGGCGGTTAAGGTTATCTTGGCATCTGAAAGTTTGAAAAAGGATGAAGAGGAAATGCATTTTTTTTAAAAAAAGAAAAATCGTATTGGCTTTCTGGGGATGATACAGGCACACATTCATCTTGATGTTTTTAGCAGTGGTTTAGAAGCACTTTTCTTTGCAATATTTTTCAGCTTCCTGGTTTAGTTTACCCTACTGTTGGGATCTCCTGGTGGTGTTCTTTTCACTCCTAGCCATCTTCGCTTCCCACTTTAGCTGATAATCTGCTGAGAAATTTTTGAACATAGAGACCCAATTTAGAACTAAGGAGAAATGTTCTGACAGTGAGAACAATTGATCAGTGCAACGACTTTCCTCCAGAGTTGTGAATACTCCAACACTGGAGGTTTTTAAGAAGAGACTAGCTGATAACCCAGCGTTGCCCGGGTATTTATTTATCCCAATCCCCCTTACCAGAGGAAGCCCCCTTGTAGAGTACTTTGAAGCCGTTACCATGGCAACTCCACCATGCTGTACAGTAGAAGCCATTTTAAGACACAACAGCCTGTATCTTAACATGAATCTAACATGCACACTATCACTGTCAAAACTATAGATATAATTCATTCGTTTTCATTTCAGCGGCCCAGGTGTTCCAGAGTTATGCTGGAACATGCACACACAGAGACACCCTCCCCCCCGAGGGGTGTTAGAGGTGTCTTACGCCCACGGTATTTCTTTCTAGAGAGTAAGTCATCTGTGTACCAAGTTTGGTTGAAATTGTTCGAGGCGTTCCAGAATTATGCTGGAACATACACACAGAGCCATAGATTGGACAATCATTTGCCCAGAATGTTAGAGGGTCTCTTGCTTGAGCAAGAGGTTGTACTATAAGACCTCCAAGGTCCCTTCCCATCATATTCCATACAATATGATTGTATGTTCTATGTTAGAAGACACGTGGAATTTTCCTTCGAGGGCCAATAAATTTCCTTTCAGTTCTAATATTAGTACTAAAAGTTTATCATAGTAACATTGGTCCAACAATGGAACAATCCACCATTGGAAGTTATGGGTTCTCTCCATCTCTTCAGGAGGCTAGTTCGCTAGTTCTCAAAGAAAGTTTTTCTAATTTGTAGAGGGTTGGACTAGATAGCCCTTGGGGATCCAATCCATCCCAACTCCACAACTTTATGCGTTTCTCTCTCTCGGAGGTGAGATTTGGAAAGTTGTAGGCAGAAAAAAACTCCCGATCCAATAAGCCAACTTCATTTTCTTGTTGATACACACGCCTTGATGCTCTTAACATCAATCCACCCAATGAGACATTTATCATTCTTTTTGAAAGTTGCTTGCGCTTTAATATCTTAGGTTGGGGAAAATCCTTTTTTTCGGCGGAAATGAACTTCCGTAACATCTTCTCGCCATATGTTGGTAGAAATTATATGTATCCTAATTGATCAGGGAGAATAAAAGACTATAACTTGAAAGAGAAAAATAAGGGAAAAAAAACCCACACCTATTAAAGATCAGCCAAAACCTGACTAAGCCTCATGAGGACCCTTGCCTGTTTTTTACAGAATAATGTCTCTGAATGGAAACGGTGGGGTATTTTTTTTTTAAATGCCTTTCAGTTACTTAAATCACCCAATCGCTCCCTATTCGGCCTTGCGGTTTTATGAAGCTTTGCACGATAAATAACACCTTAAAGTGGAATATTGAAATTTTGAATTCTGCTTCAAGTTTACACCTGGGCCTCGTAGCTCTTTCCAATGGCAGAAACGTTGATTGGTGGGCTTCTCTTTCTCTCTCTCTCTCTTTTTGGAAAAAAAGAAAAGTTGGTCAACTTTTCCACTTTGTATTCTGTGGGGTGCAGTTTAGTTCCTCTGGAAATAGATTTTTCTTCAAGTGATGCGCAGGCTAATTAAGAGGAATGATGGATGGCACGCCAGATTGGTAAGTAGGTTTCATAACTGTGGATGGGATGTGAGATTTTACTGCGTTCACTTTAGTGGCTTTGATGAGTCAAACTTGTCCTTGCGCGTTTTCACCTGGTAAAATACCGTATTTTTCAGAATATAAGGCTGCCAAACTTTGTTTCTACATGGAAACCGCTTCTGGACTTTGTGTTTGAAAAAAAGAGAAATTTTGATTTT